GGGGGGGGGGCCATCCCCCCCTTGGGGCCCCCCCCCCCCCCAAATTTGAGTTCCCCCCTCCGCAGGACTCACTTTGCGGAGGGAAGCGATGAGCTGGGTCACCTCCACTTGCAGCACGTTCCCCAGGAAAGGTAGAGGGGTCGGTCCAGGGGGGAGGTTGCCCCCCCGCCGCCAGCCCCAAAGAAGCAGCAGCCCCCCGACACCCAGCACCAGGGCGATGCTCAGCACTCCGCTCGCCTCCATCCTCCTCACCTTGATTTATAGAGTCCACCCCCCCCACCCAACCTCCCCGATTAACCGACCCTGGAGGAACTGTTAGTGCTGGCGTCCCTGGGGGGCTCTGCACCCCCAGACACCCCAGGAGGGATGGACAGACAGACAGTAGCCCTGGTGCTATTCCCCTGCAGCTGTTTGCAGTGGTTAATGATAAACCCATGCGTGCCACCCCACAGCCCCAACCCCGGACACCCCTCCCTTGGCCATGGTGGGGCTGGTCTGGGAACTGGGTCCCCAAAATCGGGTGTCCCCCCGACTTGAGAGCAGCCCAGGAAGGGGCAGAGGGCAGCACACACCCCCCCCCCACGACCCCAAGGGTGACAGAGGAGGTGGCGCATGGCGGGGGGGGGGGCAAGACAAAAAGCTGAGGGGCTGTAGCTTGGGGATGGGGGGGGCACCCCCAAACCCACCCCAACAGCACCCTGTGGAGGGGCATTTGGGGCAGGTACACCCCACCCTGGTTGCTCCCCCCCCCGCCCCAAAAGAACCAAACAGCAGAGCCACGCACTGGAAAACATTAATACTTTATGTACGAGAGTCACATTTTCACAGCCTGGAGGGGAGGAAAACTTGCTTTTTTTGGTGTTTCTTTTGCTTTTTTTTTTTCTCCTTTTTCCAGAGGGAAAAAAAAAAAACCAAAAACCAAACTGGGACACAGCTCTGGCCCCCCCCAGGAACCCCCCACCCTGGCAAGTGCAATAAATAACACAAAGAGAAGCAAAAAAGAAACGCATGCCCCCCGACACACACACCTTGGGGTGGGGGACGGGGACTTGGGTGGAGGTGGACGGAGCTGGAGGGAGATGCTGTCCCCAGAGAAGGAGGGTGGGGAAATCAAAGCCCCCATGGGTGCCTGGGACCCCCCCCCCCAGCCCTGAGGGGCTCATCCTGCAGGGAGGAGGCAAGGGGGGGTCTGGGAACAGGCAAGTAGCTTCCAGCACAGGCAAGTGAAGTCCCTGTCCCCCACTCCCTGAAGTGACAGTGGAGGGTTTGACAACATTGTGTCCATCTTGTCCGTCCCCCCTGCCCCAATAAAAAAAATTAAAATCCACCTTTTCTCGCATGGTGGCGGGTGGGAAGTGGAAATGCAAAGTGGAGACCACGCACGCACACACACAAAAAAAAAAAAAAAAGGCAAAACCCAGGAAGCTGGGCAGGGACACCCCCCCTGCCCCAGCACTTGGGGATGAGCCATCCCTCTTGGCCACACTGCAGGGGGGGGGCCTGTCCCCCCACTCTGGGTGAGGCGGGGACCCCCACTTCATTCAAGCACCCCGAAACGTTGCCAGTAGCATCTTGGAGGAGTGTTTTTAAACAAGCTGAATACAACCCAACCTGCTCGGGGGGTGTGTGGAGGGGGGGACGACACACAACATAGCCCACCAGGCCAGCAGCCGCGGTGGGGAGGGGACGACGAGCAGCAGGCGAGGAGTGTTTGCCAGAAGCCACCTCGGTCAAATACAATCAAAACAAGGCGTTTGCCACGGAGGTAAACTCGAGAGTCCTGGGGCTTCTTGGGATGAGAAGGGGGCAAATGGTACGGGGGGGGTGGGGTGGGTGGCGGGGGGGCGCTCCTGGGGAAGCGGGGGGGGCTCGGCGAGTGAGGCACATGGTCCTGGTGGCGGGGAAAAAGAAAAATAAATGAGAAAAAAAAAAGAGGTTTGTAGCAATGCCATGAAGCAGTGGGTGTCATCCAACCCCTTCTCCCATGGCCAGGGTGCAAGTTGGGGGGGGCCAGGCAGCTCCCCCGCCCCTGGTGCAGGGGTCTCACCTTGGGCACAGGCATTTAGCAACTGCACTGCTGCCGGCTCTGCGCCTGGGCTCCCCGGGGCTGCCGCAGCTGGCGAAGGGAGGCGTCTCCGTACTGGATCCCTGAGCCCATCCTCTCTGGGTCAAGTTCACCTGAGTCAGATGGAAAAAGCCGGGGAGGGGACCGAGCGGAAGGATTAAAATCTCCACTGGGATCCAAAATTTCTGTCCCAAGGACCCAAAACCTCCTGGTCCCCTAGGGACCCAAAACCTCCCTTCCCCACCCTGGAAAAGCCAAATCAGAGCTGCCGTACCCGATTCAATTTTGTTTAATATGGTCCTCGCACATTTTAAGAAGGCTTCTTCCACGTTCTCTCCTGTCAGGGCGCTGGTCTCCAGGAACATGAGCTCTGGTTAGTAAGAAAAGGCTCGTTACTTTGACCGTAATTAGCCCCGGGATGCCATGGGAGCCAGCGTTTCTCTCCGCATCCCTCACCGTTCTCTTGGGCAAAGCGCGAAGCCTCCAGGAACGTCACCTCCCGGTCGGCGTCCAAATCCTTCTTGTTACCGCAGAGGATGATGACGATGTTGGGGCTAGCGAGGGTGCGGGCGTCCGTCAGCCAGTTGGTCAGCGCGTTGTAGGTCTCCCGGCTGGATGGGGGAGGGCAGAAGCAGGAGGGTGGGGTGCCGAGCCCCAATTTTCCCCAGCACCAAGGGGGTCAGGGCTCCGCGGCCGGGGAACCCACCTGGTGATATCGTACACAAGCAGTGCACCAGCTGCACCCCGGTAGTAGCTTCTAGTCACCGACCTGAGGAGGAAGAGGAGGAGAGAGGAGGCACAAACGAGAGAACTGCCCCCCCCAACCCTCCAGGTTGAGATCGGGGGTCCTCTTCGTGGGCTGCGCTGCCTGGAAGGGAGGAAAAGCTCCACAGGTGACTCGAGCGGGGACAGGACTGGTCCCAAACCAGCGTTATTAGGACCCTCGTCTCAAGCAGGCTGCCAATATTCTTATTTAATTGCTGGGTGAGTTCGCGTCCTCCAGCACCCTCGGTTTGCCGAGGAAACCTCTAGAGAGGGATCCGCACAGGTTGGATTGATGGGTTGAGGAGATTCAACAAGGCTGAGTGCTGGGTCCTGTGCTTGGGTCACAAGAACCCCAGGCTGGAAAAGGATCAGCTGAAGATGGGCCGGCAGTGTGGCCAGGTGGCCCACGGCATCCTGGCATGTATCGGGAATAGCGTGGCCAGCAGGACTAGGGAAGGGATTGTCCCCCGGTGCTCGGCACCTCAACTGCCATGGTGGCTTTTGGGCCCCGAGAGAGAGATTGAGGTGCTGGCACGCAGTTTCCTTTTGGAAAGGGAGTTTAAAAAAAAAAAAGAGAAAAAAGCCCCCCAAAAGCCAGTGGACATTGAAGACAAGTGTTTGTGCACAGCTCCAGCACCACGAGGTGTTTTTTTTTCTTTACCTGAACCTCTCCTGCCCAGCCGTGTCCCAGATCTGCAGCTTCACCGTCTTTCCACCAACGTTGACAACCTTAGAGCCGAATTCCACCCCGATCGTGTGGTTCGAATCTTGTTTGACTGCAGAAACAAGAGGTGCCCGATGTGCTACTGGCCGGCTACGAAAGAACAATCGGGCTTCCCACCATGCCTGGGATCTCAGCTCCTCGGGCAAACCCCGCCGTGCTCCAGCATGACTTTGCCGCCTGGATTATCCCCCGGCGATGGGAAGCTCGTTACAAGACGATTTTGCAAGCGAGGACCGTGCCAGCATACATGAAATTAAACCCGCATAGCACCAAGGAGGAGGGGTGCCTGGCATTTCACTTCCAATTAAGTGAGCTCAAAGCCTTCCTCCGCCCTGTTACAAAAGCAAATCGAAGGTTTCAGAAAAGAGAGAGGCAAAGTTTCAGCATTTTGTGGCAAAGCTGTGTTTATCCACCAAAGCGTAAAAGCTCTTTTCCAGTGCTGGGCCTGGCAAGGAAGGGTTGAAGCTCCAGAACACAAAAAAAACAACCCCAGCAAAACAACAAACCCCACTTTTTTTTTCCACTGGCAAAAGGTCCCGCAAAGAAATATTTCGTCAGTGTTTTCCAGCAGCCTGAGAGACAAATCTGGTTGGGAGAGAGCCGGCGCAGCAGCAATAAAACCCAAAATAAACCAACTTACATTTGTTTTCGATGAATTGATGGAGGAGGCAGGACTTCCCTGTGCCGGCACTCCCTATCACGAGGAACTTGAAGAGGAAATCTGAAGAGGAAAAAAAAAAAAAAAAAAAAAAAAAGGTGTTTTTACACTCAAGGTGTGTCAAGCAGTGGTGGGATGGGGGGGAACGGCCGTGAGGAGCAGCCCCCACAGAGGGGAACGACCTCAGGGAAGCGATTTCACACCTGGCTCCGCTCCCTCCCTTTCAAACACAGCAAAAATCACCCAGAAAAGCCCCCGAGAAGCATTTTTTGCCCTTGATTCGGTGCCCGGCAAAAGCAGGAGGCACCGAAAGGGCCCTAAATCCCCCACGCGTGGAGTGTCACCTCCCAGCATCGGGTCCCTTGTGAACCTTTGTGGCCTGGGAGGAAAGCAGGGGGGCTGTGAAGGGCAACACCCCATGGCCACTTGCCCCATAAGTGCCCTATAGGGGCCTCAAGTGCCCCCCACCTGCCCTGCACCCCTACACAGAGCCCCATATGCTCCCTGTATGGCCCCATCCCACAGAGTTCCAATAGATCCATACCCTGCAGGGCCCCATATGGAGCCCTATACGCTCCCAATAGGGCCCCCATCCCACACAGGGCCCCACAGACCCCCTATAGGGCCTCCCAGACCGTCCGTCCTGTCCCACACAGGGCCTCCCAGTCCCCCTATAAGGCCCTCATCCCACACAGAAGCCCAATACGCTCCCTATGGAGTCCTTATATTCCCTATAGGGCCCCACAGACCCCCCCCCATCCCACACAAGAGCCCCACAGACCCCCTATATGGCCCCCATCCCACACAGGGGCCCAATACACTCCCTATATTCCCTATAGGGCCCCACAGACACCCTCTCATGCTACACAAGGCCCCACAGACACCCCCCCCATCCCACACAGGAACCTTAATACACTCCCTATGGGGCTCCTATATCCCCTATAGGGCTTCACAGACACCCCTCATCCCACACAGGGCCCCACAGACCCGCTATATGGCCCCCATCCCACACAGGGCCCCACAGACACCCTATAGGGGCCTGCAGACCTCCCCCCCATCCCACACAAGAGCCCCACAGACCCACTATAGGCCCCCCAGACACCCCCCTCAGCTCACACAGGGCCCTACACACTCCCTACAGGGCCCCCATCCCACAAAGGACCCCACGGACCCCCCCCCCCAATCCCCCACAGGGGCCCACAGAGCCCCTATAGGCCCCACAGACCCCCTGTAGGGCCTTCACCCCACCCAGGGCCCTACACACTCCCTACAAGGCCTCTATTCCACATAGAGCCCCCCCCCCAGCCCTGACATCCCCCGACCAGGCCGGCTGGAGCCCCCCCGGTGTCCCCCCGACCCACCGTAGGTCTCGGACATGGCTGGAGCCGCCGGGCCGGGCCCCGCCGCCACCGGGCCGTACGGAAGGGAGCGGGCACAATATGGCGGCGCCCAGGCGAGCCGCTTCCGGGTTCTGCGCGCCTGCGCGAAGAGGTGCGCACTAGCAGAAAGGCGGGGCCACGCGCCAAGAAAGAAGGCGTGGCGAATGCGCCTGGGCGGGGCTAGAGGGGCGCCGGGATCCTCGGTCCTAAACTCTGCCCGGCCCTGAACCGCTT